GGTGGCAGCTCGGCTGAGTATCGAACATGCGTATTTTACACTGACTAACAATTTGGAGGGTTTCAGGGCTGTGTGGGGGGTGGGGCAGGTCCTGTGCTCACTGGGGGAGAACCAGGCTCTGGTTTTAACTTTCGAGGGTTGGTGTCTGACGTTTGGTGTATATTATGGTTTTTATCCCTTTGTCTTTTCCAAATTTGTTGAGTAATTAAGAACTTTTTTGACAATGTGTCTTAAATAAAGTTATTTAAAAGTCAAGTCTTTTCTTCTTTTTCTTCTTCTTCTTTTTCTTCTTCTTCTTTTTCTTTGTATAAAATTTGAAACAAATCTGTTTTTCCCTCAAAGATTCGGGAAAAGCTCGTCACCTTGTCACCTTGTCACCTTGTCTCCTTGTCTCCTTGTCTCCTTGTCTCCTCAGGTGAGGAACCTGTTAATGTCCAGACAGAGTCCGAAGTCCGGTCGTCACGGCAGCAAGAGGATCAAATCAAGCAGCAGTGAAGGTTCGTCACACGAGTGTGAAGGTCAGAGGTCAGCTGCTGCGAGACGTTCACTGACTGAGACAAACTGAAATAGTATTTTTACAGCTGGGACATTTCGAACACATCTGTGTTTGTGAATAAATGAGTTTTGTTTCCCGAACGTGTCACTGCAGAGCGGGACTGTTCGGGTCTGGACGAGGACACGCTGTCCCGGCTTGTGGAGGTGCTGAGTGTCGGAGACATTCCCTGGAGGAGACTGGCAGAGAAGCTGGGGATGATGACGCTGACGCACCTGTACCAGGACAGTGCGACACCGTGCCACCACCTGCTGCAGCACTACAAGGTAACGTGTTCACTGAGAGGTTAAAGGTCAGATAAACGCTTCGTGCTAAAGTTTGGTGCGTTGGTCTGAAACCTGTTCAGAGGAACCGTTTGGTTCAGACAGCACTGAAAAGTCTGAAGGTCTGAACCACACAAGGTCGTTTTTAGTTTTCAGAGACGACGTGATTGTTTGGTTTGGTCCTGACGTTGTGTGTTTGTGTGCAGTTGGGGGGGGGTCCGCTCGACGGCCTCGTCGACGCTCTTCAGTCGCTCGGTTTGTCTGACGGAGTCCAACTGCTGAGAAGCTCTGAGCAGAGAGAGGACAAACACAACACAGGTGAGGACAAAACAGAGCGAGTCCGAGTCTTGTGTCGTTTTATTCCCGAAGGAACTGCTCTCACTGGTTGTGTTTTCTGTCCAATCAGATGCCACCGTCGACAGCGGCTTCGGCAGCCAGCCAATGGAAGAGGAGGAGCCGCCTGTAGCCAATCAGTGACGGGCAAGAAAGGAAATCAGACATTGGGCAGCATGTGGTCCTGGTCTTGGCCCTGGGTTTTAATCTTGGTCTTGTTTTTAGTCTGGTCCTGGTCTGGTCCTGGTCTGGTCCTGGTCCTGGTCCTGGTCTGGTCCTGGTCTGGTCCTGGTCTGTGCGCAGGTGGACTTCACTGTGCAGACTGTCCAGCTGAGACTGTGGCTGTTTGGTTTCACAGACTCTGTTGTTTCACTTGCAGAGGAAACGACCATCGTTCAAAAAGACAAAATAAAAATAATCAACAGGATTTTTATAAGTTACTGAAAAATAGAGACTAAAATAATTCAAGCCATTTTAAATAAAAATACTAATTCATCATGAAGATGAATCACAGGAAGAAACGTGTTTTATTTCTTAACATTTGTCTTTTTTTTCAGCTACTTTACATTTTTCATTAATTTATTTTTTGTTTTTATTTGAGTTGTTTCAGCTTATTTCCGTTTTATGACTTTTTTTTATGACAGACATCGACTGCAGAGATTTGATTCTTCAGGAGAAATCTGTGCTGTGTTTACATTGTGTGTGTGTGTGTGTGTGTGTGTGTGTGTGTGTGTGTGTGTGTGTGTAATACCTGAAGAAGTGATCTGCTTCTTCACCTCTGTCAAAACTGGAATTTCCTCTTCTCTGTGAGCTCCTGAACGCAGCACAGATGTTTTATATCTTATTTCTGTCAAAATAAAAAAGAACATGTGATGAATAAACACGTTTCTAAGGACACACGTGTTAAAGGTTGTTGTCATGGTGATGTGTGATCACTTTATTAGGAACACCTCTCTGACTCAGTGATTCCTGTTCTAAACTTTATGACGTCATCACTACATTGTTTACAGAGGTTCTACTGGAATCACATCTGTGATTGGATGAGGTCACTGTCATGTGACCTGATCATTATGTTGCAGGAAGTCTCTGAACATGATCAACAACAGACTAACATTCACAGCATGAAGGACGCACAGCGCCACCTGCAGGCTGGACTGGTGACAGCAGGCACGTCAACCAGTTCAAGTGTATCTGTTCAGATCATTGTCACTAATGAACGAGCTGGAACATTAGAACATCTCCAGAAGGAACCTCAGAGGGACGGGTCCATGTCG